ATTAAGTGGGTATTAAGAAATATTAATAATAGTGGTACTTTTAATATTTATTAATATTTAATATCGTCATTATTCCCTTCATTGCTTATTTTTAAACATTTTGCATTTTGAAAGCGACAGAAAAAAATACGGATTACGGTAATTTAAGCAAAATGGGAAGTCTCAAGCCCAGCCGTCTCGAATTTAAGCGAGGGAAGCAGAGCACCTGCCGTTATTAATATTGCTGTTGTAATATAAAACAAATTCGCAGAAGGCCTAATCAATAAAATGAAAAAGAAAAAGTGGAACATAAAGCATGAATAATTTGAAATCGACGCAAGCACAGCTCATTCGCCTCATCTGCTGACGCGGCGTATGAGTGATAAGCGTACGCGCGTGTTTTGGGATTATCGTAAATTATGACACCTTCCCTTTGACAGCTTGTATTATGCGCGTCGTCGATAGTCCCCAAATTACTGCTGCCTGACGCTGCCTCACCTGGGCATAGGATTCGCCGCATTTACCGCCACCCACTGATGCTGTGAACGTGACTGGGCCGTCTGGCAGGGCGGCGCTTGGACTACTCATATTGCTGCTATTACTGTCGTCGTTGTTGTTGTCGTTGTCTAGATTTACGGCATTATAATCGCTTATTATTTGTGGCAGTGACAAGTGAAAGTCGAGACGAGTCTCGGCTGCACAATATTGGCGCCTAGGCACAAACTTTTAACTAATTTATCATCCTTGAATTGATTTTAGGCCCATCGACAGTGTGGCATGTAAGAAATCAGTTGATTGATATGGTCAAATGATGATTATTGCAGTACCAATAAATGTACTTTCCCCTCACAGCAAAGAGCTACCAAAAGACGACAGCTTCAAAGGCTTTTGGGTTGATGAAAGTATACAAATATACAAAATTTAATAAACTGTTTATTTAAAGCTTGTTTAAAATAAAATACTACACAAAAACTAAAATACATGAAAAAAAGGTATAAATATTTCTTGGAATTACAATATTAATTACAATTATAATTTAACCGTAAAATCAGAATTTAATTGCAGCTATAATATTGTTAATCCATTTGAAAAAAGTCGTAATTATTTGTTGAAATTACAACAATTTCGTGAAATTTACAATTGTTATAATATTTGACAGTTGATATAATATTTTATTTATTTAAATAGATTTTTGTAGCTATTGTTAATCAGCAAAGGCTATTTCACCTAACAGGGCATATAATAATTACGAAATGCAGAGTCGACTGTTATAAACAAGCCTACATTCTCATGTTTTTATTTTTTCTGCACTTTTATAAAGATATAAATTAAGTCGAAATGTTTGGTATTATAAAACAAAATAATGCTAATAAAGTTCATACTTTTATTACCGAATTTGAACAAGGAAACAGTTAAGAGCTTATGTTTATAGCCATAAACGAATGACCTTGAAATTACTGTTAACATGAATCACATTTGTGATTCACAAAGCTCTGCGCCTAAAACAATCCATTTGGTAAATGTTTTTGACAGTGTTCTGCATTTCAATGAAAATTTTAGGTTCATTTCGCTTTGGGCTTTGTGCTCCGTCTGCTTGATTTACCTTGTGTTAATGCTTTCTCCAGGCGAACGCATATGAAAGGATCTGGTTTCTGGCCATGATGGCCATTGCTGACGCCAGTGCTTTTATTTTATGGCAGCTGTCAGACGACGTTGTTGTTGCTGTTGTTGCTGCCTTTCGATAATAGTCCACAGATCTGAGGCTGGCTGTTGTTCTTGATTTTATCAATGTCCGGTCGCGGCGATAACAATCCTTTTATATCAATTCCGCGTATCCTTATTTATATTATATTTATTTTTCTTGTGCTTCAGTTATTATTATCACTCAGACAAATATACGCACTTTTGCACACAAACACACACACGTGCAAACATATTTGAGCAAGGTTTTGTATTATGAAACCGTTTTCGTTCACTTCTTTGCTCTTGCTCAATCGCGAGAAATTATCTTTTATTGCGTTACATTTTCTTATGGATTTTTATTGTGATTATTGTAATCTCTGAAGTTAATTTAAAAGTAAATAAATATTTAACATTGTATTGCAAACAATTTTATGAATAAATAAAAATAAAAATAAACAAAATTTCTCGACTATATAAAATTCCGAACACACTTTCAGAATTGTTTAAAATACACAATAAAATATTAATAATCAATAAAGTAACGATATTTGTAGATATGATTCATTTATTTGAAATTTTCAATCAGGTAGTGAATATCCTTAGAAGTCAACTATAAAACAATCTGTAGCCATGTGCGCACAATTCTTGGCCAACACGTGCTTTGGCTGTGGCTCCGTTCGCGTTTCGGGTTGGCTGCCTTTGGCGTGCTGAGTTGTTGTCTGGGCAGCGATTAAAGTTGCATGCGAGGCACAGGAAAGCAGCACACTCGATGTGGCATGCAATTGCTTTAATTAAACGCAAACGTCAATGACCGGAAAGTGGGCTGGCCGAGTGTGTGTAAAGTGCTTAGGAGGGGGTGGACAATGCCTTTGCCTGCATACTTTTAGACGCCAGCGCGAAGACAGCGCGAGCCAGCAGCAGGCGGATGCTGTGGTGACGCGGCTTTGTTACGAAAAAGCTAACGGTAACGGCGACAGCAACGGTAATGCTAACGGTACCGGCAGTCAGACGCGCCTCAAAGCCTGAAGAACTTTTTGCCCATTTGTTTGAACGCTTTAGTCGCTCGAGCAGCTGGCCTTATTTTTTTTTCTTTTCCATTCGCTAGTATTAGCCGCCTTGTGCCCATAAACTACACACAGGCACAGATATACGTACACGCACAAACACACACACACACACAGATAGAGCAATACTCATACAAAGATACTGGGCTCATGCACGGAGGCTCAGTTGTGTCCACGACGCCCGAATGAATTCCAACGACTGAAGTTGGATTCTTGAGCCAACGGCTTCAGAGTCGACTGTCGAACGGAAGCCGCAGCAGCAGCAGCAGCAGCAGCTGGTATGTGGGTTAAGTTTCGGCGAAATTGAGAGCGAGAGTAATACGGAAGCCGAGCAGGAGAGCGCACGCACACGAATGGAAGTGGAACGTATTCAGAGCAGCGAGCTTTCGCTCTTACGCTCCACTCGGTAATCGTTCAACAGCTGTTCAGCCATCGTTTCCATTTGTTCGCCTCTTTGGCTTTGCGACCTTCTCTCAGCGATTTCCTTGCCTCGCCTGGCCTCAGCCACTTACCGATTGCGAGAAATCAGCCGTTGGGGCAGGTAATGGTTGACGACCCTCACTTGCGTTGCTTTGCTGTGCATTAAAGCATTTTTTCTGATTAATTAGACAAATCAAGTTTACAGTATGGGGATTGAGAATAGCTGGATAAATCTGACAAAATTCCATATTATGTATTATGTATTATTATGACGTAAATGTTAAATAAGGATGACAAACTTCCAGGAATAGCTGTAGAAAATTTTAGCTTTAAATATTAAAATGTTAGACAATGTTTATACTCTTACTTATGTTATATTAAGCAATATTTATATTATATATATTTATGATCTACTTTCTTTCTTGTCTTTAGGCTGAATTATGATGAATGTTTGAAATGTTAACGAATCGTATATCAATATAATTCACGCTTTGATGTATATTATGCCAGAGCACGAATAGCAATCCACTTAACCATTTCAAGACAAATTTCTATGGACACGTAAGTCCTTTGGAGCCACCTTGCCTCGGAGCAGCACTCCTGGTCAGTCATCAGCTTAAATCAATGGCAACGAATCGAGTATTGCGGGCTAAGCGTGCGTGTGATTTGACCACATTCTCTGCTCTGGCATTTTGAAGTCCTGTCAGATAGCGGACAGACAAAAAGTTCAAGGAGAATCACTGTGCGGGCTGCCAAGGACAGCACATAATTGAAAACCAAACATAAAAAGAAGGAAAGCGAACCGAAGGAAAACAAGTAAGAAAGCTCTAGTCGAGACTGCTCGACTACGAGATCCCCTGAACCCTTGGAGCAATAGATATTTCAATAATTTTTCGCGTCYYTCADMTTACACAAGAAACACGCACACACACACACACACACACACACACACAGGCACGTACGCACACACAGGCACACATACACACACACGCATACAGACACACACAC